TTATAGTCAACACAACCCAAAAACATTTGGACAACACAAAACAATTCGATAAGTGATTTGATGGAGTGCTCAAAATGTCAGCGGTTATTAGCGTGTCCTGCATATGTATACAAATCATAAAAAACCCGCCAGCAACACTATAGTCAGTCTGCTTTCTTTTAGATAAGTAAGAAAAGTATTCCGTGAGCTACAGGTCAAAACCTTATCAACATCGGTCCCCCACCCTGGTTGTTTGAAAAAATTTCACTTTGAAAAGTCTAACACTTTTGATGAATTGATCTTTTTACTACAGCAAATGGCATCAGCTAATGCACAAACCGATGAGGCAATCAATTATGCTCGACTGTGTCACCTTTTGGTGAATGTTGGCTCCCAAGCCTTAAGAGACACTTTTGATGCCATACACCCCCCAGAAAGACTTCATTATATGTTAACGAGTCAGTATGCAAAACTGCACTCTTTGAAGCAAGAGAAAGTCCTGAATGGTGCGCAATGGAAGAAACTGTATCCAACTAATCCATTATCTGTTTCATCACAAGACTTTGATATGTCGACACTGCTTGTGCTACTGACGAACAGCTGTGGGTTGGTTCCTCCCAGTACTGGATGGAACAAACTTCCCCCAGCTCCAGATAAAAGTAAGGAGGCCCACCTAGCCAGGCTGAAACACTTCCGTAGGGCTGTGTACGCCCATACCACCTACGCCTATGTAAAGGATCCAGAATTCAGCCGCCTTTGGAAGGAGATATGCAATGTCATAGTAGAACTGGGGGGAGCAGGTTATGGAACTGCTATCAGTAGGCTTAAGAATGACTCCTTACACGCTGATACGGTAGAACACTACCGGCAGTTGCTAAACCAGTGGAAGCAAGATGAAGTCAATTTCAAAGAAGCGTTCAGAGAACTTGAAGGTACATGTTATGCCCCTTGATGATTGAACAAAAATTTGAAAGGTGAAGAACAACTATTGAGTATGCTGCATGGGCATTAAGAGCAAAGCACTGCTATGTCTCAAAGTATTGTTTTGTATTGTATGAATTCCCCAGAAATGGTTGTGAAGGAGAAAATACTTGTGTGTCCCTAGGACACTTAAGTCTATTTGTGTAAGAGGTGGGAACACTGAACTGAGAGGGAAAACTGTCATGGAATGTAGTGAGAGTAAACTGTAATGGAATGGCTCTCTTTCCTGGAATGAGAGTTATATTCCTAAAGGCAGTCACTTCTTGCGGAAGAGTTTAAGATAAGGTCTAGCAGCCGTGAGATCAGAGCTAGCTCAGTAGTATCGAGACATCTCTTGAATGGTGTCATTAATCCCTTGATTATAAATGCAATTGTCTCAGCAGCTTTGAAGGTGCATACTTTCTTCAAGAGAAGAAGGAGAAAATGTAGTAGCTTTCATTTGTTTAAGAAACGTTAGTGAAAAGGCAAAAACGAATTACCATGATTTCCCATTTTGAGTGCAGACTATTAAAAATCCTAACCTCATATGCTTCCATTGCGCTTTCAGCTGTAAAGAAAGTGGAGCATACGATGAAGGAAACTCTAAAGGTGTGTAACTGAACCATTGTTTTTCATTTAGTATGATTGCTAGGCGATGTTCAATTTGCTTACGGGTTGGCTTCTTTATGCAATAAGCGAAGGACTTGATCAAACTAATTCGAAAACACTTTGATCAACATTTTTCGAATCATGTGAGATTGAACAATCCACTTTGGCACAAAGACACCATTGTTCTAACTTAGGATTTCAGATGTATCAATGTACAATGTTATGTTAAGAAGCTAGAGTCGCTCTCGGCTATCGCCTCACGCGACTCTTACGCTTCTTTCGTGCTTGGCAACCTCCCGCGTGCATCCATAACTCAATAGGGTACGCTGTGGCGTTTACCATTTCTTAATTCTTACACTCACTGCCGACCACTCAGAAAAACATTCTTAACACATGAAAAGCAAAAGACTTCAGATAAGCTTGAAGTTTTATAGCCCCCCGATGATTAAACTGCGATACTTTTCTCAGCAAGTTTGTAACTTGTAACTCTTACACTCGGAGTAAAAGATTGAGTTCAGCATGTTTAAACGAAGGCTGTCCTCGATCATTTGCACGCTCAATTCCATTAAACAAAACACTTTAACAAACATCTGTTTCGCTTGTCGATTAGCTGAAACTCACTTGGATCAGGTCGGTATTGTATCTTGTGACCTTTACCATTCCTCTACTTGGAAAATACTGCATGTTTTGTGTAAATATTGAGGTCCGGTTACCTCGCCGTTGAATTTTCAATCAGCTTTGGTCGTAAAGCAATGCACGTGTCAAGTGATTCAAGCGGACGATATCAGCGCGCCCCGTTTGAGCCTCTTCGATAACTGAACATTACTAACGCCACTGATTACACTCAGCTCACTCGTATTCAAAGTAAATCGAAATATTTTGGCTTACATGTATCAGTATTGGCTTGGCAAAGTCAGGTGATGTAATCAGTTTTATTTCTTTTTTAAAACTGGAAGTTAGGAGAATTCCTTGGAGGTGGAGCGTACGGCAAGGTACTTTTAGTTTCATCGTTACATCAGGTTACAGAAAGCAATCAGGTTTAAGCATTTGTGAAGTTCCTTAATGCGGAATGGGGTGAACAATACTGAGAAGCACCTAGTCAATGACTCTATTCTCCACTAAGAGGCCTGATCCTAGGTCATAATGACCAAATTTTCATTCATCGAGCGTGAAATGTAACAGTTTTATGGTCAATAAAGACGGCCAATATTAGCCGTCATATATTTCAAATTAGTATAGAGCCAAGGTTAGCGACATTTATGCAACAGGCTGTAATATTTGCAAACTACGTTAACTCTCAGGTGCTAAGATTCACCTTTCAGATTTAAAGAAAGCTCAAGTTAAGAAATAAATATTGCAAACCTTCAGTCATGCAAAAAAGTTAAAAGAGTGTCATCTTACTGGCATAGAGTTCTTCGGGGAGTGAAACAAATCAATTTTTTTGGTCACCTATGTATGTCCAAAACGAAGTGTGGTATATTCTGAGAAAAATGTGCAAATTGGTGAATTTAAATATTCCCAAACTTTCAACCTTAAATGAACGACTGGTACTCTTTTTACAGGTGTATAAGTGTTTTCTCAATAGTAACGGCTTTGAACATCCTTGTGCAGTGAAAGTGGTGGAAATAAAGCCTCACTCTACTGAAACGAGGACGGTAAGTCTAACAGCACTTGAAATATATATATGTAAGAAGATCATCAGTTAAATTATTAACCATTGTTGTTGCAAGATAAAATTGAAATGAATTTCTCAATTCATTCTTTAATAATGCTTCCAAAGAAATGCGCACATTAACTTGTGAGGAGCGTAAGTCAGTGATTTTTTTTTCAGGAGGTGGATGTTTTCAAAAACGAAATTAGCATTTTGAGCACACTTAAACATGAACGAATCCTGACTTATTATGGCAGCGAAGAGAAAGACAATCATCTTCATTTATTTATGGAACTCATGGAAAGGGTAGGTTTATGAAATTAAAAGAATGGAGACAAATTTTGAGGGGAAAGCAAGTTTCAAGCAATAGGTCAGCCAGCGCCATTAATTGGAGACGGAAGCCTCGCTTGGTGTAGTGCTTTTGTTTAGTTTCTTTGGTGTTAGTAGACAAATATGCCTACTGGTCTTTTGTCGATGGAAACGTATTTTCAAGCAAGTCGCTAATTTTGGTTGGAAGTTTGTCAAGATTGATCCGTGTTTCTTCCTAAGTTGTATTACGGTGAGAAAGCGAAATGAAAGTTGGTTCCACTGAATCAACGAAATTTAGTCTTATATACAGTGGCGGATCCAGGGGGAGGGTCCGGGGGTCCGGACTCCCCCTATCAAACCTGACGATTACAACTTTGAGACAGGATCGTATATCACTTTTAACGGGCTGATTTTTTTAATCAATCCAAGTCAACGGTAAGCGGCCAAGGAATTAGAACGTGCAACCGCGACTGGTGGAAGGGGGTGTGGGGAGAAGTAATTTGCCTCAAAGAGTCCAACAGTCCTTTCTGAACCAAAGTTTGGACCCCCCCAATCAAAAATTCCTGGATCCGCCTCTGATATAGTTTTGGTTGTTAATTAGACATTCCTCAAACAAAGAAAATTATCTGATTCGACACCTGATTCATTTAATTACGTCTTCGTCGTTTAGTCCATTTTGATAGTCTTTAATACCTATTGGAAATAGATTAGCTACCAACAACCAAAACTATCTCAAACACGGTTTCAAATCGTTTGCAGGGATCATTGTATGATTACATAAAGAAGAAGAAGTGTCTCGATGAATGGGAATCAAGAAAGTTCACAAGACAAATATTGGAAGGAGTGTCGTTCCTGCATTCAGAAAATGTTATTCACAGAGACATCAAAGGTATCCTTTCTGAAGAATATTCACCCACATCCAAGTATGTATGTATGTATGTATGTAAATCTTTATTTAAACACGGAAAATCATCGGTTACAGAATAAAAACTAAGATTAATCAACTGCTTTACATGATTGCCGTGTGGGAATCCTATATATCGACTACGTTAAGATTTCGCCTAAAATGGTTAATGGATGAAGCATTTTTTAAGTTTTTGGGCAATTTATTCCATAACATGGCCCCGCTGTAAGAGAAGCTTCATTTCAAATAATTGGTGTTTGGTTTGGACAAGGCCAGCCTTCCCTCAGAGTTTCTTGTGTCGTACACAGAGTGATGCTGAGAGAAAAGACTTTGCAGATATTCGGGAGCAAGGTTGTTTATAATTTTATACATCATTATGGCTTTTTGTTTCTCTCGTCGAAGAGATAGCCTCTCCCAATCGAGGGTGGAGAGAAGGTGGTTTAAGCTCGTATCAAAGGGTAATTTAGTAATAATTCTGGCTGCTCGATTCTGTAATTTTTGGAGCTTATCGCTCAAGTAGCCACTTAAACAGTCCCAGACGGGGCTGCAGTAATCAAAATGGGGCATAATCAAAGCGTTATAAATTTG